ACCACACCCTTTTATTATTACAAAAAGTGTACCTACCGGTGCCAACCATTATGTGAATAGATTTGCTTGCACCATTCAATTGAGAGTGGGAGAGAGAGATTGCCCAAAATGATCGGCTTACTCCATTCAAAGAAGTGCAAAAAATTAGCTGACACCACTCAGAGAGAGAGAGAGTTAGAGAGAGAGAGAGGAACAACAGGTGACCCACTCAAAGAAGCTGCTAGAGACATGAATGAAAGGTAAAGAGTTGAATAAATGAGAAGATGATTGATGACGAAATGACATCCAAATGAGCCCCTTGTTTCCATTCCAATACCCAAATGCTTGCAGAATAAGAAGTTTCAATAAGGTCAATTTAGATAGAGGGAGCAACGTCTCATTCCCAACAACTAAAAGATAAAGATGAACTTAAACACACATCACACTTCCTCTCCACTTGTCCTTGTTCCCTATCTTTGACATACATGTTTTCTCACTTTCTCTCTCTAGAATCGGTCCCCTACTTTCTCTCTCTAGCCTGGTCTCTAGTCTCCTCATTGTTTTTGAAATTACTTTAATTATCTTTTCCTTGTAGCTCTACTTTCTCTCGAGAACCTGGTCTCTAATCTCTTCATTATTTTTTAAATTACTTTAATTATTTTTACCTTTATTATAAGGAGGTCACAAATATTTTAAACCATTTAATTTCAAATTAATCGACTTGAGTTGTGCATTTTTTAAAAATTTACCTAGACTATTATTCATCGAGTCTCGAGTTTCTCCGGTCTCCCCCTCCTCCCTCTCTCTCTCTCTCTAAATTCTCTAGGAGTACAAATGGGTTGGGTTGGGTCAAGTCTTGGTCGGCCTCTCTCTCTCTAAATTCTCTAGGAGTACAAATGGGTTGCGTCAAGTCAACCCTACTCGGTCTTAGATGGACTCCAAAAGGACCCAGACTCAACCCACTGGGTCGGGTCGAGTCCAAACCAACACACACACACATGTTTTATATATTAATATCAATATAAGATAAATACATGTATACTATATGTAATATATCGCATTGGGTCGGATCGATCCCAACCAGTTCAATGTGATCAAGATGCACCCCGATCTGGGTCAGATCAAGTCAAAAGAACCTAGACCCGACACTTGGGTCCACCAATCAGGTCCGGTCCCAAATTCACATTGCATCGACCCGACCCGATTGCCACCCCTCCTCCACACACTGCTTGCCTCTCTCTATGTGCATGGACTTTGGCCACATGGACAAATGAGGCACATGCTAAACCTAATTCCTCATTCTTTGAGATGCATGCATGTTAGTGTCTTCCTTGAATGATAAATGTATAGTTTTTGATTTAGTCATGGGACATGGTATAAACTATTTTGTATATTATAAATCTTGTCCAATATTTCACCAATATTTTGAAGACCGCAAAACGTTGAACATCAAAATGAAATTAGATGGGCAATAGTAGATTGAAGAAAAGCATATAATAAACTCAAGTTATTGAAATATATTAGAATATGGGTGAAGTGTTTGTGTCATCCACCATATCTCTTAGTATAAATGTCATGAGAGAGAGAGAGCAACTCCAGAGAAAGAGAAAGACGACAATTACACTCCTCAAAATTAGACTGACTTATTTGATTGCTATCTTATTCGGTCTGATCTAATGTAAAAATAAAGTTTGATTAGAAATTAGTTAAAATTATTTGGCCAGTCAGATTAGGCATTTTTGATTGATTAAATTGGCTAGATAATTGAACATGATTGGAAGTAATACGAAAAGATATAGAAATTTATAGCTTCATTGAGGATATCACATTAAATAGAGCAAAATGGCGGATTAAAATTCATGTAGTTGATCTTAAATAATTGAAAAAAAACTCTGATAATAATGAAATTGGCTAAATAATATTAGAATTTTTTTAATATATTATAATGTTAAATTAATATTAATATTTTTTATTTTTATCAATCTAGTTCAATTGATTCAACCGATGGCCAGTCCAATTTCACTCAAGAGGACACTAATGATTCGATGCCCAAGTTCGTTCTAATGAAACCCCCCAATGTCAAGCAAGAAAGGCATCCAACCATAATTTAAGTTATCCAAGGGAAAGTTGGTCCATTAACAATTAGGTTTTTTATTTATTATATTTTTAATTTTCTGCAAATTTGTCTATTGGTTTTTGACCCGATAATAATCGAAAATATTCATCCTTACCTTAAAAAACCTTATTTTCCCAAAAACAAATAGCAAAAAATAAAATAAATAAATAAATAATTGAAGTTGTCTATTCTATGAGCAACCAGAGATGTTCCAAGGGATTGGGGACCGTACATTTGCAAATAATAAATATAACAAATACTTTATTTAATTGCATTATATCTCTAAATAATTTAGCAATAAAGGAACCATTTTATCATCTATTTAATTTTAAATAAAAAAAGTATTAAAAATAGGGAAAAGTTTATAAAAGGTTGCAACCTTAAAATGTAGAACTATATATTCACCTTAAAAATCCATCAGTAAAGGTTGTTTTAATGTTGAAAAACCCTCTAATTGATCATCTCGATGTATGATCATGAAAAAAAAAGATGTGAGTCCCAAAAATAGTGTATCTTTACAACACATTATCTAGATTGTCTATTTTCAAGAGTTACATATGGTTTATAGATCTATTTGAATTTAATCATTTTAGAGTTTAAAATTTTATAATTAGATTTAAAAATAGATTTTGAGATAATCTTAATAATATTTTACATCAAAATTATATGATATGATAAAATTTGAAAGTGCGCTTTAAATGGATTGTTTAAGGTTACAATCTTATGAAAACCACATTTTTAAAAATAATAATAATAAACAAAATAAAATAAAATTGAAAGATGGACACGTGGAAGTGACGTGGCACCGTCCAATGACGTGGCAGCTATGAACAGAAGTGACGTGGCATCGTCCAATGACGTGGCAGGCTATGAACAGATTAATGACAACGTTGTAACGGGAGACAAGCACAGGCTTTCTATTATGCGCACCACCTGATTCCCATCGCCCGTGTTTAACGGGCGGATTTCCTCCACGTGGCATCATCTAGTTGGGGCAGGCTTATTTGACCGCACGTGATTGGCAACAGGAAGAGCCACTTGGCCTTAACCATGGTTATGGGGGATTGACTTGGGTTAAATTTCAACCTCGTTTCACCATCCGAAATTTTGAATCTTTCGGACTCAGCCGAAAGATTCCCGATAAATTGGAGGGACTTAACCCGGGTTAGAATTTAACCAGACGAGGTTAGTGAGGACATTCGCATCTCGCCCCATGCTTCAAATTTCCTAAGCCCATATAATAATGTCTCTTGACATTAAGAGGAAGCAATTTTTGTTTGCACCCCTATTTTTGCTACTGCCACCCAAGGAATGGGTGGGTACTTCTAACTTTATTAAATTTGTAGTGAGTATTATGAACTCAAATTGGTATATAAAGTATAGACTGCTTAATTTAAAAAAGAACGACGCTTTTTTACTTTTTAGAATAACGTACATATTTTTTTAAGTAATGTAATTTCGTATCTTTATTTTTAGGTTTCATTTTAAAATAAACCTAATATTTTAAAAGATATCTTGAGGTATAAAATTAGTAGATTTTATTCTTCTGAGCTATTTAAACCTGTTTTTTTAAGTCAAACAAATCTAAAAAGATACATTTTCTAAAAGCCATTCACCTAAACTTGTAGAGAGAGAGAGAAAGGTTTCATAGAGGTGAGAGGTTAACGAGAAGAAAGAGAAAGGTGAGAGGTTACCGAGAAAAAAGAGAATTGTTTAGAGAAACACAAGATGAGAGAGAGAGAGTGAGAGACACAAGAAGAGAGAAAAAGAGATAAGGTTTTGGTATATAAGTAGAGAGAGAAAAATACAAGTTTAAAAATAACATGTCTTTTTTACATTTGTTTAGATTAAAAAATAAATTTAAAGTGGCTATAGAGATTAAAAGATATCTTTTAAAACTTTGAATCTATTGTGAAATGAAACTTAAAAATATAAAATATGAAGATATTTTCACTATTTTTTTTTACGTTAATGTCATGGCTACTTTATTTTTATTTAGTGCGTTACTGGTAGTACTCCTTAAGTAATGATAATCATGTGAGCTTACTAACTTATTACATAGTACTGGCTGCATAACTCAAATTGAATAGCGATGTAAATTTCAGGTTGCATAACTCAAATTGAATAGCGATCTAAATTTCAAAGAATGCTGCACAAATTTTAGTTACTTTTTTTTGTGTCATTTACACATTTTTATTTAAAATACAACTAATTAATATTCATTATCTACCCAAAAATAATTAACATTTTATATATTTCCAACTATTCCAATACATGTATATTTTGATGGTATTTTAAAGATGGGATGATATCCAATGAGACCATTTACGTCTCCTACAAGGAAATCTTAATTACTTATAACTATTTGAAGTGAAATTTGGAATTTAATAGCTTGAGTGTGTCACAAAAGTTAAAAAAAACCTTATTTTTAACCTTTTATACGTAATTTAATAAATTTCATGAAAAACTACTAGCACGGTCTTTAATGAACTTTGGTCATTCGTTTCTTATAATTCAATCGACTTTTAGGAGTGGCAATGGACAAGGCGATGTGGCCGAAAGGTCTAGCCTGGCTAGGCTTGGGCCAATACGCTTAGCCCAGGCCAAGGCCAGGAGTGATGGCGACCCAGCCTTCAGTTTCTCTCAAAAAATTTAGAAAACAAAAGCCGGGCAGGGTTGGAAATTTGGAATCAGACCTTGTTTGGCCCAGGCCCGGCCCATTATTTCCTTGCGCAGCCACAAGATCTTTTTTATTTTAATATTTCCACCCACGTTTTCGGTGCACCCAAAGTTGAGAAAAGCACAAATACTCGAGCAATACGGCAATTTATATTATTTAATAACAAATAGTTGGGTGGGGCCAAGACATTTGCCGCCTCTTTCTCTCTCCTCTCTTCAATCCTTTTTCTCGCTCCTCTCCGTCGCCTTCACACACCCTTTTGCAACTCGGCCCCCCATGCACAAGCCAAAGGTTTCACCGCCCCTGGCTTGATCCAAATACAATGCATCCTTAGAGAGAGAAATTCGTTCCTGATGGAGAGAGAAGATTGGTTTAGAGAGAGAAAGTCAGTTTCCATAGAGAAGCTTGACTGATGTTTCTAGGAAGGCATTTCAGCAAAGGAAAAAAGCTATGAAGATTTATTTATTTCTCTCGATTAGAGAGAGAGTTTGGATTTTGGGTTTGCAAAGAGTTGTGGCTTAGAGATAGAGAAAGAGAGAGAGTGAGTTTGGATATTTTTTGCCAAGAGTTGTGGCTTAGAGAGAGAGAGAGAGTGGATTCTAGGTTTCAACTCGCAAAATAATTGAGTGAAGAAGTTGACGACTGACTATTCATAGGAAACTTGTGTAGCAGGTTACTGGATTTGTTCAATAAAAGAAGAAGATAGATTTCTATCTGAAAGCCTCATTTGGAATTTGGAGTTCTAGAGAGAGTTAAGAGGAGTGAGAATTATATCTCAAGAGATAATTCTTGGATTTAAGAGAGAGAGAGAGGCGCGAGGAGTATCATTCTCATTGATTTTAGAGAGGGAAAAGAAAAGAAGAAATTCCACACAGAGAGGTGTTCTGCGTTAATCTTCATGGAGAAAGAGAGAAAGAGGTGCGTCTCTTTCTAGAGAGAGAAAGAGCTGCGTTGCTGGTTCTTCTGCATTGAAAGAGACAGAGAGAATTTTGTGTTTTGGGTTTTCTCTGTCCCATAGAGATTCACCTAGAGAGAGAAAGAGAGCAGGCAAACAAGTGATGGCGCCAAACCATTGATGCACCTTCACCTTCATCTTCTCCTTTCTCTACAATGGCGGCCAATCTCGACCTAACCTCTTCTCTCTTCTCCCACCACCACCACCACCACCACCACCACCACCTCCACTCTCCCCACCAAACCAGTAACCCTAACTCTAACCCTAATCCTAATTTTCCACCCCATTCTGCTAACCATAACCACTCCTCTTCTTCCACCACACCCCAGAAAGACCAAAACGCCCCCAGCCACAATACCCAAGATCCCAAATCGCAGGCTGACAGCTTGAACCGAGCGGAAGCCTCGACCTCCACCGCCTTGGCTGTGCGCCGGCCACGCGGCCGACCGCCCGGCTCGAAAAACAAGCAGAAGCCGCCCATAATTATAACGCGCGATAACGCTCAGTCTCTACGAGCCCATATCCTCGAGGTCCAAGCCGGCTCCGACATAGGCCGGGCGGTAGCCGCCTTTGCAAACCGGCTCCGGATTGGCGTCTGCATCCTGAGCGGCTCCGGCTCAATCTCCAACGTCACCTTCCGTCAGCCCGCCGCCCCATCCGCTGTAGTCTCGCTGAACGGACGGTTCGAGATCCTCTCTCTGACAGGCACGTTCTTTCCTGAACCTGCTCCGGCCCGGGCCAGCTCGTCTCTGACCGTTTTCTTGGCCGGGAACCAGGGGCAGGTGGTCGGCGGCGCGGTGGTCGGCTCCTTGATCGCTGCTGGGGCCGTTGTTTTGGTGACGGCGACATTTGCCCACGTTAGTTATGAGAGGCTGCCGCATAGTGAGGAGGAGGAGGTAACGGGTGAGGAGAGCTCCGGCGTTATTTCAGGAGGTGGAAATAACGGTATGGGCGATGTAACGGGGATGGGTTCGTTATATAATTTGCCCCCGAATTTGGTGAATTCCCAGATTATTCCCGAGACCTTTGTCTGGCCTGGTGGTGCAATACGGCCTCCGCCTCCTTATTGAGTTTAAAAAAAAAAAAAAGAAAAAAAAAAAAAAAAAAAGAAAAAAAAAGAAAGGAAGGAATTTTGTAGAGAGGGAGAGAATGATAAAGGAGGAAGAGAGATGTTCGCAATGAAGAAGAAGAATTAAACAGAGGGAAGAGAGAGAAAGAGAATGAACAAGGAGGAAGAGAGATGAAAGAGAGGTTTTGGGAAGTGGGTTTTGGTCACTGAAGAAGAAGAGCTTGGTAGAGAGAGAAGAGAGAGAAAGATAATGAAAAGGAGGAAGAGGTATAAGAGGTTTTGGGAACTTGGTTTTGTTCACAGGAAATGAAGAAGAGGATCAGGGCTTTTGAGAGAAGATTGACTGGAACAAAGGTATGGAAGGGTTGTTTCTTTTAGAGAGAGAAAGAGAGATTTTATAGGGTGTATAAGTTCTTTTCCAGTAGATGTTGACATATGGGTTTGAACCCTAGAATTGGGTTTTGTAGAGTGAGAAAGGAGAGAGCATAAGCTGTGCTTAGACTTAGGTCACAGGTTATTCATTATGTATGTATAAAAAAAAAGAAAAAACAGTATGCATATATTCTTTTACTGATCTCTTTTTTTTGTTTGTTTTTCTAATCCATAGAGTGCAGTGTGTTGCTCTCTTCTGTAGGATTTTTTTCTCTTAAATTTTTAGTCAGAATAGAAATGTAAATTATGTTTGCTGGCAATAAAGAATTGTAATTCAAGAGCACATTTTGTCCCAAAAAAAAATGCCATTTTGGAATGTATCTTATTTAATGTTGACTGTGTTTGCTATTTAATTAATTTAATTTGGTTATTTTCCTTTTGTTTAATATATAATTGTCTGCTTTATAGTGATCACCCTCATTCAAAAATAAACTAAAGTAAAATAAAAAGATTCTGGGGCATTTTTATACATGTTTAGAGAGAGAAAGGATGAGAGAGAGAATAATTCTTTTTATTATTTTGGGTTTTGGCATTAAATACAATCCCCCATTTGACACTGCAACTCATGCTTGCATTCTTTTTGTTTGGGAGAGAGAGTACTTTCTTTTTACAGTTTTAGAGAAGGAAAGAGAGATTATACTTCTTACTTTTTTTTGACAGAAATGCTATAGTCTTTTTGTGAGAGAGGGAGTTCTATATAGTTTTTTACGATATCTTGGTCTTGGCATTAAATATGTTCCTCTATTTGACAGTGAGCCAATGCTTGCATGCTTTTCTCCATTTGAGAGTTTGAAACCCTAGAATTGCAGGTGTTGAACAAAGGTGACCCAGTGTCTACCTCTTACTGGTTTTGGAGGCGTTACAAGAGTGGGAGAATGGTGGGTTTTGTCATCTTACTAAATCCGCAGGCGAGTCTTAAAGTGGACGTTTTTTCTAGTGAGAGAAACCCTAGAATTCTTGGAGTGGACGTTGTTTTCTAGTGAGAAAAACCCTAGAATTCTTGAAGTGGTTGTTTTCTAGTGGGCTTTCTTTTCTAGTGAGAGAAAGCCCAGAATTGCAGAAGATTTCGCAGTCTCCGAAACTTTTGTTGCAGGCGCTGTTGCACGCCTGTGGACGTTTTCTAGAGAGAGAAAGTGCTTTGGGAAAGCACACTAAAGTAATATAGTCTATTTATGGAAACGATAGAGGCTTTAAATGCAAAGCATTGCAGAATAATAAAACGTTTATTCTATGATAATTCCTTTAAGAAAAATTAAAGAAACATAGGGAAACTTCCCTCCTCTTTTTTTTTTTTTGCAGGTTGAAAGGGATGGCGGATCAGTTGTAAGTACTAAAGACATTTCCTGTGTTGTCATCTCAAGGAAAGAAAAGCCTCCTGGTATCTGTGAATTGTAAGTACTAAAGACATTTCCTGTTATTGCCTAGAGAGAGAGAGATCCTGGCCTTAACGGTTCTCTGATTTCTGACCTGTACTGTAATGTAATGAAGCTTCTCTTGTTCAGCTGTTTAGCTTGTGCTTTTTGTGTTACTTTACATGGTGTGCGTGTGCGTGTGCGTGTGAGAGAGAGAGAAAGAGAGAGAGAGAGACTGCCGTGTCTTCTGCTACTGTATTAACCAATAGGGTTCTTAAGTTGTTGCTTTTTTTCTGAAGTAGAAACTGTGAGTGTGTGTTAGTTCACATGAGAGAGAGAGAGAGAGATTCATCCTCTGCCTCATTATTACCTAGGAGAGCTCTTAAGATAGATGCTGCTATTTTCCTGAGGCAGAATCTGTCATTGTGTATTAGTTCACATGAGAGAGAGAGAGAGAGAGAGAGAGGTTGATTACCTTTTCTAAAGTGTATCAATTAGGGGATTACGCTTTAGAAAGTGATTATTATTATTCTGGTACAATCATCAAGGGGAATCTGACCTAAGGTTTATACCAAACTTTGTTCTGTTAGCTTAACATAATCTCTAAAGAACAAAACAGATAGTTTATGAGCTTACAGCTACTGATATAAAATGATATACTCATTCTGCTGTTGTTTGACAAAATTGTGTTTCTTCATTATTAGAAGGTCACACTGAATAGGTTATTGAAAGTTTTAAGGTGTGAAATCAGGCGGCAAAGGATGTGTTATTTTTCTGCATGCAGTTAATGAAAAATTTGCTCAGACACTAAGCATGGTCTCCAGCACACCTCCAGCTGCCTGCGTTCACATTTTACTGGCTATAGGTAGTACTGACCTTCATTTACCAAAGGTAAATGGTCTAATTACATTTCCTATTCTTTAACCCCCTTGTCAAAAAATTAGTTTGTGTAGTATCCTTTCTTATCTATCATTTACAACACACAAAACTAGGACCAGATAGTTTGAACATATAAAAGTAGGGCAAGCTTTCTATGCTTCCCCTACAACATAAAACTTATATACTTCCCCTAATCCAACCGTCCATTCTGAATGGAAGGCTAAGATTACCTCAATCACAATGTCACGTCTCTACACTATTTTATTTTTAATTTTTTTTTTTTGTAAACTATTTTGATACCAAATTTTGTACGTCCAATCCTCTATTAAACTCACACAAGTGAAAAATATAAAAAAATATTTCCAATAAAATAAAATGACCAAATACCCCTGAAAGTTTCAAGGGGTATTTTGGTCATTATATTTTATCAGAAAAATATTTTTATATATGTGCACCTCAATGGGAAGATGACAAGTACCAAATTTCATATTCATACAATTTGTATAAAAAAAAACCAAAAATAAAATAATTTGAGACGTCGGATCTAAGATCAAACGGTGAGTGGCTCTCTTGATCAAAATTAGACAGCTGTATCATAGGGGAAGCATAGATCTTCTATGCTGTAGGCGAAGTATAGAAACCTTTCCCATAAAAGTATGCTTGGATGTAAGAAATAGAGCAAAGATTAAATCTGAGACATAGAGAAGGTCTTGAAAATTTTGGCTTTATGTCAAAGAAACACAAGGGAAACTATGGATGTGGACAAAATGGATGGAAGTGTTTAAGAGGGCTCTTGAAGAGTTTTGACTTTTAAGCTTGGATGTTGAGATTATTGTTAAAATTTCAAGATAGGGGGGAAAAGGCAGGAGATAAAGGATAAAAATAATGGAAGAATATTTAAAATAGCTTTTAATGGGGAGGTACTTTTAATTAACTTTGGCTCTAAACATAAGGTATTCATTGTGTGCAAATTTATGCTCAGTTCGCAAAATCAAGAGTCATGTGTGCATGTTAATATGCATACATGATACCTGATGGTAAGGCATACATGTATATGTAACACCATCTGTGGGCCGGAGCACATGTGCGTGCGTGCGTGCAAACGTGCACGTGTGTACAATATAGTTATCCATTGCAAGTGTAAATATTCTCTGTATGACTCATTTTTTCCATTCTCAACAATTGTACTATCTCATCAGACTTCTTTCTATATGAAAGAGATATATCGTTACTGTTCAATTGATCTCCATGGTCTGACCGGACAAGCTTAAATTAATGTATCCTTCATTTTTGAGTTAGAATCAATCCCAATAATAGAACTGAGTGACTAAATTTTGAAATTACCTTGTTTGAGATGCATGTAAAGAAAAATTTATGAGTTAGGACCTCGTTTTAATTTTTCAACTATCTCACATTGGATTGCAATTGCACCATTTGAGGGTTGTATTTGTTTGCGATGTTTACATTTTTATCTATCACTCTCATTGTACAAGGGCCTTAAGGGATAAGTAGTTGCATAATTATTAATTACAATGTACCAAAAATCGACTTGGCCAAGGTACTGAGCCCTTGGCTAAGGCGAGTTACTCAGACTCTCGGATGAGTCCGAGTAACTTGTCTAAGTCCAGCACGGGATAAAAAAAAAAAAACTATATATTATATATATTATATAGCCTTCTTGTTTCTTATATAAAATACTAAATGGCATATTGGTTAAGTGGCTTGCTCGTGGTATGTCTTGTTGGGGTAAGTTTGGGGATGAATTCTCAACCCTCTTGAATCCTTTTTCTCCTTTTTTAACTCCTTATAAAGTTTGGCGATCAGTTCTCTACCCTCTTGAATTCCTTTTTCTCTTTTTTTAACTCCTTAAAAAAAGGGCTGGGTATAAAAACAAAAGGAGGGAGGTGTGTATGTGGGGGTTTGAGGCCCAACCAAGATAGCAAATAAGCACACACGCTACCCAACGTGCCTTGTGAACACTATTGAATAGAAATCAATACATTCAAACTATATATAAACTATACATGCTGGGTGTACAGCAAAACTCACCTCACCCAATAGGGCGAGGGAGAGTAACTTGGCTTAATGCCCGTACACGGATTGATTATTTATCATTAGCTTGATATCTTTATGGGGTGCACATTTCATGGTTCGTAAGTACACACATGTGCTTTCTCTACTTTACTATTGATCAATAGAATAGGGTACATTAATTAGTTTGTGAGAAGCAAGCAAGTATTTTAGCAGTAACTGTTTAATCTCTCTAGACTGTATATAGGGACCGATTTGAAAATAACACTTGCTATCTCCATGCTCTCATACACTAGCCATGCAAGAAGGTGTTTTGATTAAGCTTTTTTTATGACAAAAGTTTAAATTTTTTTTGTGTTATACAAGTTTAACGGTTATAGAACTTATAATGCCTCTTGATTATTGGAAATGTTAGTTGTTTTTTAGGTTCTTTTGTGATTACACTAGTAGAAGTAGTATGTGTTTTTTATATTTCTTATTTTAGGTTGTCTTAGATACATTTCCAACTGATCTAACAATTAATAGAGTGACATCAGTAGATTGTTGCTTCACTTGCCTTTTCCATGCACTTGCTAAAATATTTCAGAGTTTTTAAAATCTTCTAGTAAAGTTTGTGGACTGTAAAGAATTTCTCTTGCTGTATGTATTTCCTTTCTTTTGCTCTTTTGGTAGCAAGCTAGTCCTAAGTTTTGTTAGTGGAAAAAAGTTGTTCGCCTTGCCCATCGTGTCCCAGTGTCATTCCATTGTACCAAAGCCATGAGACTTGCTTTTTATTATTCTTTTCTTTTTTTATTTTTTCCCCTCCTTTGATACTTTCTTGAAAGTAAAATGTATTTGCATGTTCCTCCATTTTGCTTTTCTCTTATAACCATTTTGTACTTCTTTTATACTCGAGTTTTGTCAACCGTAAATAAGTTATCACTAATCTTTTATACTTGGGCATTCCTGAGAATTTATAGGGTTTTGATATTAAGTAGTGTTCCAAAAAACTCCGGGTGGTGCCTAGGAAGCCGGGAGGGTCCATGCCACCCAACGTATAGCCTGGCGCCTAGAACCTAGGCAGCCCATTAGAATAAAAAGTTGTTCTAAGGTCAGATATTGTATAAAAAATTAAAAAATACATATTGAGACATATCCTAGTCAATAATTCCATGCATTTCAAATTGAGACATATTAAAAAATATGTATTGAGAGACATATTTTTCTCTATAATCCAAGATAGCAATTTAGCAAGACATGAATTCATCATCAAGAAAATGAAAAAGAAAGAAGAGAAATAACATATATAAGAGTTAGGGGGCACATCAAATATCTATTGTCCACAAGTCCACTTACACTCCTCCGTACTTCATAAGTCCATATCGAATTATCCATTGTCCACACATAGTTAAAACTTAAAAAGTTTACAAACCACAGAACACAACCAAGTGGAGAAAAAGAAAAATGAAAAAAATATAGACTTGAAGACTTAAAAGACTATTCAATCATCACTCATCATCAGAGAAAACAGGGTCAAGTGCATTTGCATCATATGCATTGAAGTTGAGGCCATCATCATTAGAATCATTTCCCTCCTTAAAATAATGGTTGTCCTCCTTTGTGTCTTATGAATCTGCATTTGCTTTCTCTTTTCCTCCTCCACCCTTATCCTCTAGGAAGAAGATCTAGTGGCCCTAGGAGGGTCGGTTGATGTCCCTGAGGCTTCCATGACCAGATCCCATGTCAATCCTTCATGCCCCTCGACCTCATTATCATCAATCAACCATTCCATAGTATTATCCATATTCTTTTATCTGAGGGGTCTCTCTTATATCTTTTAGCAAATCTCTTCTTCAAGTATTAATTATACTCGACATAGACTAGGTCATTAAGCCACTTTGATTCAAACATGTTCCTTTACTTTGTGTGAATCTAATAAAATCAAATGAAACTAATTAATATAAATACATAATACTACAGAACTACAAATTTACAACTAACATAGTAATAAGTTTCTACTAACTAACTAGTAACTACTTTACAAATTAGTAAATTGTAATTTTTAAACTAAATTACCATCTTAAAAGTACTCCAATTCCACTCATAGCTGGACGTGGTAATGATTTGGCTCAAGACCCGAATAGCCAACT